AACAGCACTAACAGCCAGGTGTGGTGGCTTACGCCTGTAATCCCAGCACTTTGGGAACTGACATGAGAGAACTGCCTGAGCCCAGGAGTTCGAGGTCAGCCTGGACAACATGGTGAGTCCTTGTCTTTACAATAAATCAAAAAATTAAGCCGGGCTTGGTGGTTCAGCCTGTAATACTGCGCCTTGGGAGGCTGAGGTGAGTGGATTGCCTGAGTCCGCAGGTTCGAGACCCGCCTGGGCAACTTGGTGAGACCTCATCTCTACAATAAATCAAAAAATCAGCCGGGCGTGGTAGCGCGCGCCTGTAATTCCAGCTACTCGGAAGGCTGAGGCGGAAGGATCGCCGGAGCCCAGCAGTTCGAGTCTGCGGTGCGGCCACTGCACTCCAGTCTGGGCCACAAAGTGAGACTCCAACGCAAAAAAAAAAAAAAAAAAAAAATAGCCAGGTGTGGTGGCGCACACCTGTGGTTCCAGCTACTTGGAAGGCTGAGATGGAAGAATAGCCTGAGCCCAGGCTGTGATAACTGTGATCTTGTTGCTGCACCTCAGCCAACAACTAAAAAAAAAAAAAAAAAAAAAAGCACTAACAGCATAATCCATAAAAGAAAAAATAAAAACTGGACATTATCAAAACTAAAAATATTTGCTCTGCAGAAAGCTCTGTTAAGAAGATGAAAAGACAAGGTACAGAGTGGGAGAAAATATTTGTAAATCACCTAACGAAGGCCTTGTACCTAGAATATATAAAGAACTCTCAAAACTCAATGGCTTAAAAAAACCCAGTTATAAAATGGGCAAAAGGCATGAACATAATTTCACCAAACATGATATACAAATGGCAAATAAGCACATCAAAAGATATTCAACATCGTTAGCAGGAAGGTAACGCAAACAAAAAAACCCACAATATCACTACATCCCTATTAAGACAGTGAAAACAAGAACTAGCGCCAAGGCAGCTCATTTGCCTCTTCAGTCTCACCATTAAGATTAAAAACAGATGCCGCGCTCGGTGGTTCAGCCTGTGATCCCGCGCCTTTGGGAGGCTGAGGTGAGTGGATTGCCTGAGCCCGCGGGTTCGAGACCCGCCTGGGCAATTTGGCGAGCCCTCATCTCTACAATAAATCAAAAATTAGCCGGGCGTGGTAGTGCGCACCTGTAGTTCCAGCTACTCGGAAGGCTGAGGCGGAAGGATCGCCACAGCCTAGCAAGTCGAGGCTGCGGTGGCCGGGAGCGGCCACTGCACTCCAGCCTGGGCGACAGAGTGAGACTCCAACTCACAAAAAAAAAAAAAAGAAAAGAAAAGAAAAGAAAAAGATTTTAAAAAGGCCAGGCTTGGTGGCTCAGCCTATAATCCCAGCACTTTGGGAGGCTGAAGCGAGTGGATTGCCTGAGCCCGCGGGTTCGAGACCAGCCTGGGCAACTTGGCGAGACTTCGTCTCTACAATAAAATAAAAAATAGCTGGGCGTGGTAGCGCGCTGTCTGGAGTTCCGGCTATAGGATCGTCGGAGCCCAGCAGGTCGACGCTGGGGTGGCTGTGAACGTGTGTGCCACTGCACTCCTGCCTGGGCGAAGGAGTGAGACTCTTAAAAAAAAAAGTTTGAAAAAAGACTAAGATCCCGATTTGCCCATTTTAATTGACTGACTGCTTCTGTGCTTGGTGCATCACATACTCTAGTAACACTTATTTTTTGAGTGCCTGCTCTGTGCCAGGCACGGATAAATATACTTCGGATGTTTATCATGTTGCTGGTCCTCTTATATTACACGTGTGATCGCATTTAATCCTTATAAGGCCCAACAACGAAAGAACAAGAGGGACACCCCTGTGGTGCAATAAAATTGTTAACTTGCTGCAAAGAGGAAACAGTGAAATGTGTGTAGCTATTTTCTTAGGTTGAAAGACTTTGAGCTGGGCTCGGTGGCTCAGCCTGCATCCCGCGCTTTGGGAGGCCGAGGTGAGTGGATTGCCTGAGCCTGCGGGTTCGAGACCCGCCTGGGCAACTTGGTGAGACCTCATTTCTACAATAAAATCAAAAATTAACCGGGCGTGGTAGCGCGCGCCTGTAGTTCCAGCTACTCGGAAGGCTGAGGCGGAAGGATCGCCGGAGCCCGGCAGGTCGAGGCTGCGGTGGCCGGGAGCGGCCACTGCACTCCCGTCTGGGCCACAGAATGAGATTCCAACTCAAAAAAACCACAAAAAAACAAAAACAGACTTTGAGTTTAAAACATGAGAGCAAATAATATTGAAAAATTTTCCAGGCTAGGCGTGGTGGCTCACGCCTATAATCCCAGCACTTTGGCTGATACCATGTATGCAAAATGTTTTATTAATACGCATTTATGTTAAGATAGTAATAACTGTTAAAAATTAAAACAAGTTGGACGAGGTGGCTCACGTCTATAATCCTAGCACTTTGGAAGACCGAAGTGAGAGGTTTGAATGAGCTCATGGGTTCGAGACCTCATCTCTATAATAAACCCAAAACTTAGCTGGACATGATGGCACATGCCTGTAGTTCTGAAATGGGGACCGAGCGCTTAATTCACAGACGCCAACATTAAAAGTGCAAGTTATAAAAAGGAGAGGTTTTATTTAGTCAAAAGCTGGGCTGGCGGCCACTTGCCTGTTGGACTTGACAGTCCCACACCCAGGGGCCCTGATTAGCTGTAGGGCGTTGCTTAAGTGGGGTTTAACCACATTGGGACTTTCCAAGTGGGCTAAACCGCAACATCCTGAAGGCCTAGGTACCTTTCCAGTAATGCAAGCGTGGTTCACAGAAGCGAAAAAAAAAACTTAGTTTAACCTAGCCAGCAAGTGCTGTTGCCAGTTTCCAGGAAGGGAATTTTTTTTTTTTAAACTGTGCAAAGGCTGAGTACATGTTTAGTTTAATTTTTGACATTGTAGATGTTTTTTAAAGTCCCCTTTCACAGGTTCAGCTACTTGGGAGGCTGAGGCGGAAGGATCGCTTGATCCCAGCAGGTCAAGGCTGCGGTGGCCATGTGCGTGCCACTGCACCCCAGCCTGGACGACAGTGAGACTCTGACTCAAAAAATACAATAAAACCAACTATGCTTGTAGCATGATAATGTATTTAAATCAGTGTTTTTCATTCATGGGGGATGTTATTTAAACCTATTTCACGCTGTTTTTAAAACATCACCATCAATCATCTTGAGTAATAAGAAAAGTGGAGGTAATACCAAGAAAAGCAATCAGCAATCATCCCTTGAGCCCCTTCTAAGTGAGGCGATGGGGATGGGTGTCTCTCGGTCTTCAAGTTTTTGGAATAGTTCACAGGTCTTCGTATGTATTGAACACTTCAAGGAGAAGGACTCAACATTAGAGGACTAAGAAACAAATACAGGTAAGATCCTGTTATTATTACTCAGTATTTTGAGTAAAAAAAAAAAAGCCTTTTGAAAAACAAACAAACAAGAACTAGTGCCAATCCTCAGTCCTGGCAAAAACGCAGAGAAAATGGATCTCTTGTGGGTGGGCATGTAAAATGATACAACAAATCTGGGAGATAGTTCGTCAGTTTCTTATAAACCTATACTTACTACATTACTCACTATCACACACTCCTGGGCATTTATCCCAGAGAAATGAAAACTTATGTCCACAATAACTTATGAACAGTCTCAGCAGCTTTATTTGTAAGAGCTAAAAACTAGAAACCACCCACGTCCTCCAACAGATGAATGGTTAAACACACTGGCACATGCGAGCAGTAAGAAAGGACCAAATATTATTACATGTAATTTGGATGGAGTTCAAAGGCATCATGCTATGGGGGGGAAGCCGTGCTCAAAAGGTAACACTATATGATGCCATTCTATGTAACTTCTTGAAATGATAAATTTAGAGTGATGAAGAAAAGAGCAGTTTCCAGGAGTCAGGAAGAGTGGAGAAAGGATAAGCGTTGTGACGTGACAATACACGGGTAGTAAGAGGGTTCCTTTATGGCAGCGGAACCATTTGTATATTGACTGTGGTGGTGGTTATACCAATCTATTCACAAGTGCTGAACTACACACACGCACACACACACACTCATTAGTGCATGTCAAAACTGGCAAAATCTGGCAACCCCTTTGGGTCCCCTCCCACTGTGGGAGCTTTTCTGTCCTCTCGATAAATCCTCTTTCTCAAAACAAACAAAACAAACTGGCAAAATCTGAGTAAGAACTGGAGTTTAATAATAATGTGACAGTGTTGGTTTCTTAGTCTTGAGAAATGTTCCCTGGTAACACTGACAGTAACAATAGGGGAAACAGAATAAAAGGTATATAAGAAACTCTCTTTATTGTTTTTGCAAATTTACTGTATTTTCTTTTTAGAGTCGGAGTCTCACTCTGTCACCCAGACTGGAGTGCAGTGGCCGCTCCCGGCCACCACAGACTCGACCTGCTGGGCTCCGGCGATCCTTCCGCCTCAGCCTTTCGAGTAGCCGGAACTACAGGTATGCACTATCACACCCGGCTAATTTTTTGGTTTATTTTAAGATGAAGTCTGCCAAGTTGGCCAGGCGGGCCTCGCACCCACGTTCTCAGACAATCCACTCACCTCAGCCTCCCAAAGCGCGGGATTACAGGCCGAGCCACCGAGCCCGGCTGCAAATTTACTGTAAATCTAGCATTATTTCAACACAAAATTTTATTTTTAAAAATTAAAAAGAAGCCAGGCTCGGTGGCTCAGCCTGCAATCCTGCACCTTCAGGAGGCTGAGGTGAGTGGATTGCCTGAGCCCGCGGG